TCTCGTTACGTTATATAACGTCTCGTTACGTTATAAAACGTCTCGTTACGTTATATAACGTCTCGTAACGTTATATAACGTCTCGTAACGTTATATACCGTTTCTTAACGTTATATACCGTCTCGTTACGTAACGCCGCGGCAAATTGCGTTACGTTAACGTATGACACTAAGTTACACTAAGTAAAATCACTGAACTTTAAGTTATTTTACTCTACTTGTGCTGTGGTGTACGTTACTTTTTGTTACATATACGTAACTCTATGACACTTTACGCTACTTGTACGAGACTCCACGTTACGTCACCACGGATAACTCTACACTGTTTTACCAGACTTCACATTATTCCTACGATATTTTACGTAAGTTACATCACCAGGTTTGGGTGTGAATCGACCAAAAACGAACAAATTTGTTTCTGTTGGTTGCAACAGGCATTTTTACAACAATATAAAGCTTCCAATAAATCAATCACATAGAAACTAAGCAAAGACTCTTTGTGTTTGGCTGGAGCTACCTGGAAGGCATCTCGCCTCTCAATTCAATTAAGCGACGCTCGATAGGCGCTCGAGTGCGTGTGTTGAGTCATCATCAATAATGCATGTAGCAGGCACCATTTGGGGAGGTTGAGGCTGGGGCTGAGGCTGCGTCAGCGGCTGTTGCAGTGGCTCTCGATTGAAGTCTGTACGATATCTAAATGCGTCGCGCTACACGCTCGAAGCGAATGCAAATGAACTAAAATTTACACATCTGCATCGGCTCATTAGATGAAAACACACAAAAAAAAAAAAAGAAAAACTTGAGAAAAAAAATTTAACTTACAAATAACTAAACAAATAGCCGTTAGAAACAAAGCGCCGATCATTTGGAATTGTGTTTTATTTATTTATTAGTACTATTTCGTTTTTTTTTTTATCAGTCCGCTGCGTTTATCGCATATATATATATACATATGCATAAATAAATATGTATATATATTTATTCATTTGAAGCGGTGCAGCATTTAAAAGCACATCTATCTCGACTGCTGGCGCAGCGTTATCGAAGCACGAGTTGGCTACCGAAAATTAAACTCCATTCGTTTCACTAGCTCCACCACTGCCTCTCTCCCTCGCTCTCTTGCATAGAATCAAGTTGACCGCAACACGAAGTATGCATAAATATTTACATTAATTTTCAATTAAGTTAATTTGCATTACATTTGAGCGACTAACACACGACACCCTAAGACTACGATGTACCGTAAGACAGCAGTCAATTTAAATTAGTTGTTGCTACAAATGAGGAAAAAGACGAATTTCGAATACCCTAAAACGAAATGCAAAATGGATGGAGAGAGAGGGGGAGAGCGGAAGAGATATAGGGATCATTTATAGGGAGACCTAATATATCTACATTATGCATTATTATGTTACGTTACTTTACATCACGTTACGTTACTTTACTTTACCTTTAGTCAATTTACGTTACGTAAGCTTACTTAACTTTATTTAGCTTTACGTTACCTTACGTTACGTTACATTACATTACGTTGTGTTAAGTTACGTTACATTACGTTACGTTACGTTACTTTACGGTACGCTACGTTAAATTTCTTTACGTTACGTTACTTTATGTTACGTTACGTTACGTTACCTAACTTTGCATCACGTTGCATTACTTTGCGCTACATAACGTCAGGTTACGTTGTATTACGTTACGTTACGTGTAATATGAAGCTTTATGAAAGCATAATGAGCATTGACCAAAAACTTATTATATCTTACTCTGCGTTAGGCTACGTACTTTAGTTTGACTGGTATTTGATAAGAACTGAAACAATTCAGACAAAAGTGCTGGGATGGGAAATACAAAGAGATTCTTGGGTAATTTAAAATTTAAGCAAGCTATAGACCTATATCATGTCTGCTTATACAGATTATACAGCTATACACACATACTGTATATCTCCAGCCATCACATACCAGTTTAGCTAGCTAATATACCCTCTCACAATGTAGATTTATCAAAATCAATACAATTTATCGACATGTAGCTAGGATATTAAACAGGAGAAAATGAAACTGCAGCTGCAGTTGCTGCTGGGGCTGGGGCTGGGGCTGGAGCTCGAGCTGGAGCTGCTGTTGATTTTGCTGGTAAGCTGGATCAAAGCCGCTGCGATAGAAGACGACAACACACGGCAATTAATCAACGAAATGAGTTTTATGCATTTTAAATGATCGCTCGCTCACATTCGCTTTGGAGGCCAAAAAGGC